TACTTCTAGAAAGCAGGTGGCGTGACAATAGTCACGTGATCTCGCTGACGCAACAATATGTTATGTTAAAACTCCTGATCTAAGCCAATTCCTACAGTTTGCACTCCAGTAACTTATTTTGGTTAATGTATTTTCTTATCAAATACTTTTATTTAACCCTCCCTAGTCTCCATTTTTACTTGTTCAGTGATATTTTTCATCACAGGACAATGTTTCATCCTTAGAAACTTTTTATAAATATCTACAATACTTTCTACAAAAGCCATATTTTGTTTCTAAAATTATATCACACCAAATCCTGTAATAATAAATATTACAATATATATTTTCGGGAACAAAATTCTTATACTGTATCATAGGAAGTTAGGTGATAAAGTGAACATGACTTTTCTATTCCACATATTGCAGCATAATAATGATAAAACAATAAAACAGATATTTAATTTTGTGGGCATACATGTAAAATCTGACTTTAAAAAAAACATAAAGTTGCTACTTTTATGTAACACATCTTTCAAACAAAGAAATTATGAAGATACACATAATACGTTTCCTAATGAAGCTAATATTGGAAAACATTTTTCCTATGACAGACATACTTGTAAAAGAAGTACATTTATTATGTCATAACAAAATACTGGTAACCTGTATGTTTATTTTACACGTTACCTTTTCATAATCCTCTGCATGTTCATTATAAATTTTGCATGTATCCTCTGGTGGCCTCTTTCCTTTATGAGTTGTTTCACACAGCCATGCAATCTCAGGATCCATTTGGTGATGAGAATGTTCACACTTGGCAGTGTTGGTATCTCCATGGTGACATCCTGTACAATGAGTATCACACTGACAGCAACCTTTGTTACTATGGTGACATCCTTGAGTGTCCTTTTCTTTCTGACACTCACCGTTGCTAGATTTCTCTGCTGTGTGAGAATTAGATGACATGGCTGCTTGTTTCTTACCTGGTGACTGTCTCATGCAATGTAACGGTTGAATCTGATAATTACAAATAAAAGTGCAAGTTCTGAATCTTAGGTCTTGGGATAAAGAAAGTGTTTACCCAAAAGTACTGGGAAAAGTTACCACATGATGTGTTGTAAAAATTTAACAGAGTTTTGATAATGTTTAAAAAAATAAAAATTCTTAGAATTGCAGTGTAAATAATTTCCACTTAAGATCAGCTACCAAGATCTTTGTGGTGACTCTTCCTCTTTATACACAGAAAAAAAAGGAATTTTGATTGTTCTGTTAATTTAGATTTACCAAAAATATATACAAATTAACAGGTTTCAGGTAACTAGTAGTTCTAAATATATAGATAATAACATTTAGTGTTTTTTACTAGATACCAAAACACTTTTTGATTATATAAATTTATTTATTCCTTTTACCTGTTAACCAAAGATAATCGAAAACACAGTTCCTAACTATACGGTCTAGGCTGCTGATTGTCCAATTGCACTTTTAAAGTCAGATTTCAGGTATCTTGTTTGTTAAAATTGTGGGATGGTTGAGCAGTTTTTATGTTGCTAACTGCTACTAGTATAATGTTACCATGAAATAGATAAATTCCCAGCAAATACTGAGCACTACCAGGGTTCTGATGTTTTAGTTTTACAGTCAGACTCAGCTCTTTTCATGGACACACACAAAAAAACAAAAACCACTTCACTTAATTAAACAAGCAATACTAAAACAAATTGTGCACAATAGTATTGGTTTTATTTTCTGTAAATTGATTATCCTATTTGACTTGTGGATATACACAGGAGCAGTCTAATGTTGAGCTGTTGAGCAAATAAGTTCATGTTACTCATAATATTCTTCACAAATTTAAAGAAAAAATACTCTACTGAACTTTGTATGTTCATGTTTTTGTTTTGAGTGATACCAAAATAAATGGCTTGTAGTTTGGCATTGATTACTGGTATTTACAATTCAAATTCCATAAGCATATTTGGGAGCTATTATTTTATAATTTATTGTTACGACAGCGGAAGTCACATGACGCTGGTAACACGTCATGAGTTTCTAGAAGGATCATGATTGTTCCTGGCAACTCTAGTCTTTTCTAAGTGCCCTCTATTTTAGTATATAAGCCAGCAAATAAAGTGGAGTGTCCGACTCGACATTCAACACGGGGAACTCACCTGGCCCGGACACTGGAAGGATTGACAGTTTAAGAGCTCTTTCTTGATTCAGTGGGTGGTGGTGCATGGCCGTTCGTAGTTGGTGGAGCGATTTGTTTGGTTAATTCGGATAACGGACGAGACTCTAGCCTATTAAAATGTCTGTGCGGCTGGGTTCGACACCACCCGTGATGGTGGTTTTAACGTGCCTTAATGGAAGAGGTCGCGGTGGCAAAATACAGGGAGCTGGTTTTGTATAAAGCTTTGCACGAGCTTTGGAAATCCAGCGTGTCCTACCCCAAAATCTAGCTATCAGGATAGCATATAGTCTCCCAAGCTACACGCCCCACGAATACTTAGACAAGGCAGGCGACATTCCCGACATCAGAGAACATTTAACAACCCTCGCAGATAAATATTACAAAAAGTCAATAAATCGAACACCACTAACGAACCAATTCGCATCAGCAGCTGCGACTCCCGTGACATGGCAAAGATACCTCTCACCATTCTATACAATACAAGCCCTGAATGATAATGTCTAATCATATACGCCTGTTCGTCCTTACAGCTTCGGACACTGGTAGAGTAGAGTATTCGGCGCTCTACCAGTGAAAGTGGGTTTTCTCGGGGTACTCCCGTTTCCCCCCACAACAAAAGTTTTCCTTATGCTTTGGATCCTGTGATCCCAGCCCTGGAAAGGACCATCTCACGTTTAAAGTAAACATTTAAAGCAAATGTAAATGTAACCACTAATGTGAATCAAAATCATAATCAGCAACCAATTTATTAAACAACCATCGGTATTTAATCTTAGTTTGATCTCAGTCTATAATGGACGTTCTCATGCTGCATCTCCCTGCTCTGTTCGTCAAGCGACCAACCCCACGTGGTCATCAAACGATCGTGTGCAGCGGAACGAACGAAAGAAAGAAGAAAGAAAACACCGAAAGACAGTACACAACTCAACGAAGCTCTCCATCTTCCTCTGCTTCGCCAAGTCTCCCCTCAGCTTTTCCCTCAGTGCGTGAGCATCACGTTTTGAAAAATATCAGTGATAAACTCCTTTATGTAAACGTTTAAACCGTAAAAGCCTATTCCTAATTATGTAGTGGAGTGAAGAGAAACAAATGTTTCTGACCGTCCCTTGTTATATTTCATTCCCAGAAGGGGAATGAAGTATATTACTACCCTAAATGCCTACCAAGCCAAAAGGAAAAGGAAAGGAAGGATAATTGCGGGTAGGGAGATATAGAGACAGATAATCAAGTCAAGTCATAAGTAAAGTGCGTGAATCGTTGTGAATTATAGCGTGTTTTGAAGTTAAAGTGACTGTGGAAATTAAGTGTATTGCAAAATTGTATTGAGAAAGAATAAACTAGTTTTATTTAAGAAAGGACTTGTAGCGCTGAAGTTCCTCGGGAAGAATTTATAAGGGAAATTAACAAACGACCAGAGACGTAACAATATGTATATATTTCATAAAATTTTAGTCAAGTTTCAGGTATTTGAACTTTCCGTTCTAAGATTAAGTAATAATAAAAATATAAATAACAACATAAAATATAATTAATATCTAAGTTGGCAATACACTAATTAAGGACTACTACTAAGTTTCGTTCATAAAATGACACACCAGTTACAATAGTAACAGGTTTACAAGTAAAGAATCGCCGACTCATGAAACGTCTTCGTTGGTTTTATCGTACATACAGCCGTTGTTTCTGTCACGCTTACAAAAACATTGGTCTACGTAATGTTTGCAACGATGTAATGCGTTATCCTTTGTCATACTTTAAGAGTTTGAACTAAAACGTCATTAACATCTTAATCATTATTTTTATAATTAATTTATTTGAATTGACTGATAGTAAATGCTTATAAATTTTAAAACGCTTATTACCAAATAATAGAAAATATACCAACTACGATCGTCTCAAATATTCTGCTCTCTCTCTCTCTTCTTTCCTATAAATGTAATATCAGCAAGTACTAAGTACACGCATCCAATTGATCTGGGTATGTTACGCATGCTCAGTGATGCTGTACAAATCATTGCAACATTTCACCCATCGATTCACTAGTTGTAAGCTCATTTGTAAACTGCCTCATGTATTTTTTTCACACTTGAGCTTTTCAGACCCGCATTAGATCATGTTTCCTGATGCGATACCTTAGAAAGGCCAAAAACATGGTCATGTCTTGATGTACTTTTGCAAGATTCACGAAAGTAGAAAGTGTTCTGTTTCAAGAGTAACTAAAACCAAAACTGAGAATAACACTAACAAGTATTTTTATTTTTTGCTTTTTAAGTTCATATTTCATGCTGTGTTGTAACCTACAGATTTCATAGTTTTTCTCGTGATTTGTGGCATGCGCACGTTTTACTGATGTTACAACAGTACAAATTGCAATGTTAAGCATCCCTTATGTGACGTCATTTTAATGTCTACTGATTGTCTGACAGACAACACACTACTGTATAGTGGTGGGAATGGTTAAAACATGGGATCCCTCCAGGCGGCCTTCGTCCCCTTTCGAGGAAATTACTGCTTTACCATGGTATTCTAGACGATTGATCTGCAAAAACAGCATTTTTATATTATCAATATTCAGCAAAAAACAATGAACACACCGAGAAATCATTAGAAAGCTTTACACTCGCACATGACCTTCAGGAATCTCTGTGATTAGAGTAGTTTTAGGTATCCACATATCAGGGCAAACAGGTAGGTTCCATAAATCAGGGCAAACAGACAGCCAAAAATAATGCGATTAATGTTGTTTCCTCTTGCTGGAAGTCTGCAGTAAAGGGTGTCAGTAATGAAATTTTTTTTAAAGAAATATGATCAGTCTTATCGCTATATCTTTAGACATTCCAGTAATTCAAGACAGTCGTCGTACATTTTCATTTAGCATAGATTGAACATAAGTGTTTTGCGACTCTGTAATTTAAAGGAGAAGCGTGTGGTTGACTACCTTAGGACTGTAGTTACCGACAATCAGAGTGTTTGTCTACGCTTTATGAACCTCCATTTGTTGTATACCCAGACAGGCTTGGCATGAGACTTTGAGGCTACTGTCGAACATGGGTCTCTGAAAAAAAATTTTCTTTTTGAGGGAAACTATGCTACCGATTATTGAAGCTGCTGTCTACACTTTATAAACCCCTTTATAATATTCACAATACATATTGTTCCACTTTTAGAGTGATGTAACATCAGAACATATAACGTATTTATATCATAGAAGAACCTAATGGTTTTAACCCTGTCTCCAAAGAAATTGTCAAAACAACACGCCACCTTCTTGTTCAGCACTAAAGCAACTAGAGATTATGACCTTTTATAAAGCATAAATGGATGATAAAGCAACATATTGATAATATTGCCATTACTAAAGTGAATATCTCTAATCCCGTAAATATAATAACATTTAAAAATTCCCAATATTTGTGTGAGAATAATATAAATTTTACAGTGAAATATACTTATTGATTCCTTTGCTTTACATAATGATACCAAACTGTAAGATCAGTGAAATTAACGGTTCGTTTTCAGGACTATCAAACCTCATGAAAAAGAATGCCATGAATGTATATATCGCATTTTATATCATTATGTAAAGTGAAAGAATAGATAAATTCGTTTCTACTGACTATTAAATTCAGTACATAGAAAATCTGTTTTTCAATATAAGAAATCTATATGAAGATTTGTAATAGTTGATGAAACAATTGTCAGTGACATTGATATGGAGTCTAATTGAGTAGAATGTATACAAGAATTATATGCTAATTGAAATTTACATATTGAACGTGTCCCATCAAATCTTGAGAAATAGAATATCATGAACAATCATTTGGTATATGGTATCTCTATTTAAAGTGAAAGAATCAATCAAATAGGTTTACTGACTTTTAAGTTAAAGATTTAAAGTGAAAGAATCAATCAAATAGGTTTACTGACTTTTAAATTCTGTGACATGCAAAAGCTGATCATAAGTAGTAAAGTTTAAGTATAGTGAATGTAATTTCATTTTGGCTGTAAAGTATATTCTACAGTAATAAACATAATACTTAATTATATCATTCCGTATGTTGGTAGCTGCAAACAGCAAAACTTACAGGTTATACAGTTTTATTGATTTCAGTTGTTGAAATGTTAACAGTTACTTCAAAATGAATGTTCTATAGAAAAACAATAAGGATAATATTCTGTATTTTTATAATATATAATATGAAAATGAATGATTGGATTTTGTTTATGATAATACGAAAAAAAACTATTTTTATCAAATACTCTAGTGGTACCTGTTTGTAGTTTTCATAAATAGCACATTAGTACTCCTAATACTTGAAGTTTTGTTAATAATTGTTTCAGTATGTATTGTACTTGTTAAATAACATAAAATAAATTCTTAATATACAGAGAACTAGACATGTCACACAACTTTGACCAGTGTGTCACATGATATTCTCGCCTAGTAATACATATACTTCCATAAGCGTAAATGTACTTAAATTATGACAGTCAACTCATTCGTTATTTATCTATGTTATAAAACTGTCCATCTCCTTTTTATCTTTCATAACTCATCTTGAAAGTTTGCTATGAACAGTTGAGGGGGAGCGAACCGAAATGGAGCTCCAATCCTGTTGTAAGAAATTGTTGTGAAATTACTTCTGTTAATGACCCTCAAACAGAAACAGAAAAAATGCCTATATACAGTTAGCTTCAGTCAGAATTAAGTGTAAGGTTCCAAACCGGCAAGAAACAAGCTCTAGACAAAGATTTGTGAAAATATCTACAGAAAGGTGAGAATATAATTTTCTATAATAGTAATAGTTAAACGTAACTATTTATGTAGATCCTTTAAAAATAAACTTTAGTGGAACAATTATAAAGATGAACTTATAAAGCTAAATACGAAACTTAAGTTATCATGTTGTTGCGTCAGCGAGGTCACGTGACTAGTAACACGCCACGTCCTTATCGAACCTTCGTGAATTGTCGGGAGACTACTAGATTGGGGGGCAGTCTGGTATATATAAGACGGTCACAACGTGACGGGACAATGTGTGTGTAATTGAACTGAGTATTGTTGAAGTCGAGCAGCACGTGAGACGTTCGTTTAGAATTATAGCGTTTGTTATAGAGCGACTGTTGAAATTAAGTGTATCGCAAAGTTGTATTCAGAGAGAATAAACCAGTTTTATTTAAGAAAGGACTTGTGTCGCTAAAGTTTCGTCGGAACGAATTTACGGAAAATTAACTAACGAACGGAGACGTAACAATATATTATTCAGAGGTGTAAATAAGCATTCTTTTAGGGCAAATAGATGTTATACAATATATTAATTATAAAAATGAAAACTTATGAATTAGCGATAAGTGTTTTAGATATTAAATGTTAGAAAATGCAAAAAAATATGACATGGAAGTTAAATGTAGAAACAAAAAAATATTTTCATATGAAACAGTACACTAAATCAATACTTAAATCATAAGAAACACAATAATGTAAGTGCTTTGTTCAATATGTATAAAAAATGATAAATTAGGTGTGGTAAAAACTTTTCAGGATGTACGATATATCAATTAGAAAAGTAAAAACTAATGAATTAATGAAGTGTTTTATAGACTGAATATTTGTAAAAGGTGCTATGCTACAATATTTGCCTCGTTTACATAATAGATAAATTACGATAATATGTGATAAAAGCTGACATATGTAATACACTATGTTATAATACTTGTCTCGTTGAAATAATGGTTTTACTTGTATTTAAAACTTTTATGACACATGCAAATTAATTACTAACTGAAACACAACGAGTTATATTATCTCATTTAAATAATAGTTTTACTTGTAACTTTTTAGGACATATAATTAAATCTTCAATGTTGATGAAGTAATAACATGTTGAGACGTGATGATTTCTGTGGATCTACTGCACCCTTTGGTGTTTGCTCATGAACTATCTTTACACTCATCTTGCAAAAACTTAGTATATTTATCTAGTGTTATTTTCATTAATAGTATTGGCTGTACTACTTGGTATGTTGAATGTGATTACCTTTTACGTTGATTTGTTTATTATAATTATACTTTATTATAAAGATAATTTAGAATTATTGGTTTAATACATGTTTCTAGGACTAACCTAAATCGTCTTAGCTGGTCGAATCTCGTGAGATATTATTGTAATTACGGCCACAAATATCGTTAACAGCGAGGGCACCCAACTGATGAAACAATACGTTCTGATCATTGAAAGTAGAAACGTAAGAGTAGTATTTTTAATTAGTTACACTCATTGCCGCTTTGATTTCTGGTTTTGTTCTAAGTACATAGCTTACTTTGAAAGGATGTTGTTATTATTTACTATACAGGCAATTTTGGTAAAATACTTTGAAATCTATAATGGTAGTGTATTATTTATTGAATTTTCTTAGATACAGGAAAAAAACAACAAACTACTAACAGATCCCAGAGGGAAATATAATAATATTTTTGTTCCCCACAAAAACTACACAATGAACTATGCTATTCATACCAAGGGTATCAAAACCCGGTTTCTAGTATTATAAGCCTCCAGACTTATCGCCGAGCCACTGTGGAGTAAAATCTTTGTTTTAAATGAAGCAGCATTACCTTCGGTTTATGATCAGCATGTTATAATTGGACCCAGAAGCACAATAAACTGTTGGATATTAACAAAACATATCAAAATAAAATACATAATACCATTAGTTTTTAAGTATATGTACCCGCACAGATACCATCTCGACAAGTCAGCAACTGAAACGTAAAACACCCAAAATACCATAATAACTACCTTTTAGTAACTTTGTCTTAAAATTACAAACAAATTAAGTTGGTATATGAGTTTTAGATTTACAGCTATAGGTCTTATTATTGCCACTGTTCCTTGTCATTTTATTGAGTGCAAGAAAAGACCGCTACTGAAGTGAGCACATTCTGACAGTAGCCATTTCTATAAGAAGTGTCAA